TAGCATTATGTTAACCAAATTACTTAAAGAGTAATTTATTTACTCATTCTTTCAACAATGATTTGCTTGGCTTCTACGGAATATCAAGCACCATTCTAGGCACTAGGGACATAATTTAGAACACAAAGAGCACGAAACACCTACCTTCAAGGAACTTACATTTTAGTGGACCGTGAGAAAGAGAATTTGTTTAAATTATAACAATAGAACATATACAACATTTAGGATATTTTGTATGATCTCTAGAAAACCCGAATGACCTAGTCCCAGTCCCAAGAAATTTACACTCTAGTTGTGGAGATTATTAGTGCAAAGATAATAAACAACAAAGACAAAATACCAGGTGAATGCTAAATAGATAGAAAAGAAAAATAAAAGGTGCGAGAATGCACTGGTGGGCACTTTGGGCTAGGAGGATCGGCAATAGTTTTCTGGGTTTGTGACAGGCTTGGAAGGAGAGAAAAGAAAGTGCGTTCGGTATTACCAGGAAGGGGAATAGTCTGAGCCAAAGCAGAGGAGAAAAGTTTAAGACTTGTTGGAAGAATAGAAAATTCTCCCATCCTACAAACCTGTTCTCCCACCACCACTTTCCACCTAATCAATCACTCACCTCAAGTCAGAGTTATCCCAGACTCCTGTCTGCTTGCCGGGAGCAGTCAATCTCTGGGACCTGATAGATGCTGCCCCTTTCATAAGCTCTCAGAGTCACTTGTCTCTGTTCCTAGGGGCTACTGCAGGTATTTCTGAACTTGACTACTGGGCTTATCTCTACCATCTCCCCTCTCCAACACATTTTTTCAACATGCTGTCAGAGATATCTTTCCAAAAGCAAATTCAGCAAATTCAATCCTATCAATTCTTTCCTTTAAATCTTTCAGGAGTTCTAAATCATGTGCACAGTAAAATCCTTAAAACATGCAGAGGATTCTTCATGGTGCAACCTCTCCCTGCCTTCCCAGCCTTGTGACTGCTCCCTCCAACTACTGGCAACTACCTGAAACTCCAGACTCTTCTGACCTCTATGCCACTGTATCTGCCTGGTCCTTCAACATCAGGCCCAACAATCCCTTCTGTGAACCTGTCTCCCATTCTCCTCTCATGGTTGTATACATACCTCAATAATGGCACTTCCTGCAAACTTCTGATCCCCTGGAACCTACCTCTCCATGCCCAAGGGGTACATCTTACTCAATTTTAGACTCTCAGCACCCAGCCCAGCACATAATCCTGCACCTAGCACAGCAGCTTTGCTCAATTAATGTTGATGAAACAAAACTGGGGCTAGGATCAGATTTGCAGGTGATTAAACATGAAGTAGGCAGTAAGGGAGTAAAGATTGTGAGAAAACAGTGAAAAGGGAGCCAATAGAAACAATTGAGAGGTACAGCTGCACCATTCTCTCTCAGAGGTAATGGGCCTCTGCCCATCCACTCCAGTGACATGACTATTAGCTGTGGTGATCAGAGAGAAAACTCTACCAATAAACAGACTGGGAACCCAAAGCAACCGACCATCTAAACTGAAAACATTTTGCCTGAACTAACTGACTTGTTTCTGTAACTCCCTTCTTTTTTGAGAACACCTGTCCTCCCTCAGTAAAGTCTGAACCATAGAAATGCAAGAAACAACATAAAACAACATACTAAATATAACAGCTACATTCTGGCTACAAAAGATGTTTCTATCACTTTCTACATCAATAAGAGATGTTGAATTCAATTCACTGATTAACTGGGGTTTGCGGATGCTCCTGGAGGCAAGGCAGCTAAGGACCCTCTTCTGCAAATCAGAAACACAGAATCTGCCTCGACAAGTGATGTCCACCAGCACCAGTGCAACAGGGCTGCAGGCCAAATATTTCCTGCCACTACTACCTGGATGTAACTTCTCTGGTTGGTTATTAAAGCTGATGGAGAAAAGAAATGGCCTTTTGCAAAAAGAAAAAAAGTCCCAAATCCCAGTCTAGTAGAGGACACACTTCCATATATGTACATAAACCAGGGAACACACGCAGTTTAGTTTTTCTTTTTGTCTCTTGCAAATCAACTGATAGATATTTTACCCAGAAACTTATGTCATAACTCTCCTGCTCTGAATTATAGTTAATAGTTATAGAGAGATTTCACAGAAATCTTCAGTATCTGCGTGGTTTTTAAATTACTCCGGAACTATTTGTAGTGGCAATCGAGTACTAGGAGAAATATGTTAGTCATCTGCTCTAACTCAGACAGGCCTACATTACAAAATGAGAGGCAGAGGTTAAAATTACAATCTTCATTTCACCAGTCTCCTCTCCCATAGTTGGAAATTATAATTATTTCGTAAAAGACTGTATACCATTAGCCTACTTCTGGTAACCTTTTAAAAGGCTTATTATTTTACAGTGACATAAACTTACCATTGGCATGGAAACATTTTCTCTTGATATAAAATCACTGCAACCCACATTAAATTTACATAATCGAAAATTGTTCAGACATATTTAAATTATATTTGTTTTCTGACATAAAATATGTTGAACTGACCCCTATACACACCAGTCATATCAGTAGCCTACAGAGGGTGAGATGAAGAAGTAGAGATATTTAAGTTTTTATTAAATATATCTACACTATTTGACTTGAAAGAACCAGCAAAGATTACACCTATAATTAAAAATAAAAAGAGCCTATTGCCACATACTTAAGATGAATTTTATGATGCCTCATCATGTAAACACAGACTAGACGAAGTTAGTTTTCTTTCTAAACTGAGATCTACTGATGGCAGAAGAGAACAAACAAAGCTCAGAGTGTCTTGTTTAATTTCCATTTGGGTTTTTAGCCTTATTTATTTGCCATACTCAGTATAAACAGTGACACCTCACCATAGCAGACAAGAGTATTTTCCTAAAAAATAGACTGCTAATTTTATCATAACTTTTTAAAGTTTGCTTCTATAATTTATATTTTTACATAATCATAATTTATTACTAAAAGCTGCCAAATAGCATTACATACATCTGACAGCCAGTCACCAGGTGGAAAGAACATTAATCTATGCAGATCTTGCAAGTCAGAAAACCTGGGTTTAAACCTTAACTTGTTGTGTGAGAAGCTAGGCAGATCAACCTGTGAGCTTCAGTTTCCTCTCGTATGAAAAACACTATTTGCTCCCTCCATAAGGATGGATACCTAATCAATTCTCGAATGACAAGTAAAGCTAAACCATGGAGTATAATCCCTTCTATTCAATTTGTCCCTGGTCAACAAGGAAATTGTCAAATTTTCTGAATTTAAGTGAGCAGTGACTACAATAGCCAAGATATAAACAATTCAATTGTCTAACTCAGATGAAGACGTGGTATATGTGTGTATATACATACACATGTATTATATGTGTGCATACACACACATATGTATACACACATTTGTGACACCATGGATGGAATTTGAGTGCATTATGCTAAGTGAAATAAACTAGAGGAAGACAGATACTGTGTATCACTTATATGTGAAATATAAAAGAACTGAACTCAGAAACAGAATGGAGGGTGGGGAGGGGGGATTGAAATATGTTGGTCAGAGGGTACAAAATTCCAGTTATAAGATGAATAAATTCTGGAGATATAATGTACAGCATAGTGATAATAATAATAATGTGTCACATACTTTAAAGTTGCTAACAGATAGTAACAAATGTTCTAACCACAAAAAAGAAATGGTAATTATGTTACGTGATGGAGATGTTAGCTAAGGCTACGGTGGTAATCATTTTGCAATATATAAATGTATCAAATCAACACGTTGTACACCTTAAACTTACATAACGTCGTATTTCAACTATATCTCAATAGAGATGGAAAAACTCAATAAGCAGTGCCTAGAATGTGAACGAAAAAAAAAAACCACACCTAACTAGTAAAATTAAGTTACTTCTAAAGTTATTAAAGAATAAGGCTTTAGGACATGAGCAGGAACTGTTGTTTTAAAGTGATCTGTCATCCAGGAAACTGAGGCGGAGTCTGCTGAACAGACCAGCGTGGTAATTTAATTGCCAGTCTTCTGGAGAGACTCAACATGTCATCGTTCCCCAACAGCGTTCTCTTAGGGACCTGATTTTCTCTCTAGTCCTCCAACTGCTTTCCGGTTCTTCATCTCCTCCCACCCCTTTTGCTCTTTTACTCTTAAACACGTCTCTCTCCGTTCCGTTTACAACTTGCTTGTATTTTTAACTCTAATTAGGAATGAGGCACCCCAGTCTTGTCCTCCGCCCCCCAAGATCCAGAGGACTTTTGGACAATTAGGAAATGCTTGCGGTCCATCCCACCTCAAGACTTCCTTCTCCGATCACTTCCCCCGCGAGCTCTGCGGGTAAGAAAGGGCTGCTGGCCGGCGCCCCGAGCCCACAAATCAGTTCCCCCGGCAGCCCCACGCAGCCCCAACACTCCCTCCCAGTGCCGTGCACACACTCCCCTTAAAAAGGTTTCAGGTGGGTCGCAGCCGGCTGTCCAAACCCGGCAGGCTCCTCCCAGCCCCGCCTACGGGCTCGCCGCCCCCGCCCGCTCTCCAGATTCTCCAGAGCTAGTTCGAAGGGGGAGGAAATGACTCAAAAGACGTTGTTTCTAAGACTTCCGCGAGACAAGGCGTCTCCAAGTCTCCCGTGACTGTTCAGGGGCTGCGTCCCCTCCCCATCCAGACTCTGCTCTCGGGTCCCTGCGTGCCCCGCGCCTTCCCCGCCTTCCCCGCCTTCCCGGGGGCCGCCGCCCGCCGCCTGCTGAGCGGGGAGGCGACCCGGGTCGGCGGCACGAGGCGACCGCATTGCGGGCCCCCGGACGGCGGTGCCGGCTTCCTTCTCCCCAGCCCCGGAGCCCGCCCGCGCTGCTCGGGGTGGCCCAGGGTCTCCGCAAACCTCCCCCGCAGTGGATGCAGCGCCCACGCGCAGTCCTCAACTTCCTTCCTCGTGCGCTCCGGCTTTCGGGGGCCGACGCGCAGGCCCACCCTGGGGAACCCCTTACTCACCGATATCTCCATCCTCGTCGTCGTCCTCCTCCTGCTCCATTTCTAACAAAACGTCCCTGGTCATCATTTGCGTGGCTCCCCAGAAGGCGACGCCGAAGTTGGCACGAAGTTGGGGCTCCCGGGTTCCAGAACCGCACGGCTCCCGCGGGCCTGGCGCCGTGCGGGGACCGCGGGCCGAGTCTCGCTCGGGGCTCAGGAGCCGCTGCGCCCAGCGCGGGCTGCGGGAAGCCGAGCAGGGGCTGCCGCCGACCCGAGCCCAGCGCCCAAGGCTACCACTCGCCAGCCGAGCGGGGCCGGGCCACTGAGCATGCCCAGTGCGAGGCGAGGCTGCGGATGACTGAGCTGCTCCCGATTTATTTGGCGCTCAGAAGGAAGTCGGGAGCGGAGGGCGAGTAGTTGGTGCTCGCGTTCTGCACGCGAGTGACCTCGCAGAAGGGGGAGGCGAGAGCGCGCGAGGGTGGGAGTGGACAGGGCTCCCCCAAACTTTGCCTCCAGACGAGGCAGCTTTCTGTTCTAAGGTCATATATGGACACGTCGTGGCGCTTGCTTTCTCTGACATCTGCTACTGGAGAGGGGGAAACGCTGCGGACAGCTCACGTGAAGAAGCTGAAGGCGAGCCCGTTTGAACAGTGCTTAAAGGCGACGTGGAGCCAATGGAGGATCTCAACGTCTCAATGTCTCTATTACTCTTGACTCCAACGGGGGGACGTGTGTTCTGTTGGGGAAGGGAGAGAAGGGTATTACATAGAAAAGAGGCAAAACACGTGTAGAATAAGCAACAGAAGAAGAGAAAAAGATAAAGAGAGCGAGATTTAAAGAAACACGTTCACAAAACGTAGGCGCTTTTCCGCAGAAAGTGAGGTTAGGAGGAGAGAAAAGCGCCCCCTACCCCCTCGTGCTGAACACACACAGGGAGTGGTCGAAGACGATCGCAAGTATGCAGCCCTGCTGGACCTTGAAACGCTTAGTCCTACGTGTCAAAAAGGCAAAAGAAGCTGAACACCTCCACTCTGGTTAGATGTAAACTCTACAGCAGCGTGAAAATAAACTATAAAACCCGAGGAAACACAGAAAGTATAAAATAAAATTTTATAAAATAAAATTGAGGAACAGAGTAAAAGAATGCATTCTTGGAGACGAAGGGGAACAATAAGAAAAACCCAAAGGGATTTCTACTTTGAACATACGTGAGGTGGTTTGAACTGCAGGTTTCTAGGATCGCGAGTCTGCAGAACTTTTTTCAAAGAAGCTGGTGAATTCAGATAGGAAACTATAAAACCCGAGGAAACACAGAAAGTACTGAAATAAAATTGAGGAACAGAGTAAAAGAATGCATTCTTGGAGACGAAGGGGAACAATAAGAAAAACCCAAAGGGATTTCTACTTTGAACATACGTGAGGTGGTTTGAACTGCAGGTTTCTAGGATCGCGAGTCTGCAGAACTTTTTTCAAAGAAGCTGGTGAATTCAGATAGGTAAAGTTTTGACTTCTCAAAAGGGCTATATTTGAAATCCTAGTTATATTCATTGTCTCACACTTCTCATTGAAATTTTTTATACTTTTTCCATTGAAGTACCATAATTATTGACAATTACGATAACTATTGTAACACTAATGCTACTGTGCATTTTATTCTCCCATGCACATATTTTTTATGTTTTTATATATGAAAGAAAGAAAACGATGAGACCAATTGTAAGTGAGAGAACAGCCATGAATATGCATAAGACATGGGAAATTACTTTTAAGAAAATATCCAGGAAATATTATACTTCTTAAGAGGCCTTTTTAAAAAAAGAGAATTGTTTTCAGTATAAAGAAAAAACACTACAGTACTCTGAAGATGGGTGGGGTGAGAAAAGATGGAAGAATACAGAAGAAAAAAATGAGAAAACATTTTATTTTAGTGAACTCTCCAAAGTGTATTGGACCTACTGAAATAAATATTCCAGAGGTATTTTGGTTACATGGTCAGTTTTCACAGTTTTCATTTAACAAGTGTGTATCCAGTGCCTTTTATGTGCACAGTTCTAAATGTTTTACAGTTAGTCATTTAATTTTCATAACAACCCCGGGAGTCGGTACCACTCTTTTACTCAGGCACAGGGCAACGGAGTAACATGACAAAAATCACACCAGGAGTAAGTGGCCGGGCTGGAACTCAAACCCAAGCAGCTTGTTCCAGAATCTGTGCTCTTAGCCACTTTATAAACCTCCTCTAGAGACATTCATGAATCTTAAAAAAAAAACAAAACAAAAAACACTTTCTCCTCCCGGCAATTCTAAACTCTCAAAGTCTCATCACCTCCCTGCCCCACTTCTCTCACCAAATAGTCTGGTTTTTATGGCCTACGACTTCGCTTACGGTTAATTAGTAGTTAGAAAACTCTTGTGGTTGATTTGCAACAGGTTCAATGAATCAACTGAAATTCTTCACAGATTTTAGAGTTCACATTTTTCTTGCTTGGTAAATGTCGTAGAGAGACATTGCTGGCTTTATATGTAAAGGTGACTTTGGCTGGAAGAGAAATGAATTATTTATTTCGGTTAGCTGTGAGTCTATTATTAGTAAACTCCATTATTTCATTTATTCCATTTTATATCATAACTTCTCTCATGCATTTTTTAAAACTGAGTAATATATGGTTCAAAAATAATCAAGGTAAGAGGCCTATATAAGAACCACACCTATGACCCTGAAAAATTACCATCTATATCACGAATAGTTGGTGAAATAAAATGTGCCTAACGATACATGGCCCGGTTACTGGGTTTGCAAAGCTTCCCAAGTCAGAGATTATGGACCAAGTATTTTCTCCTTTATTGGTCTTCTGATTAGTCACAACCTTTGTCTAGCCACTGTACGCTCTTTCTATGCCCATCCTTTAAAGCTTGGTGCTTCTCTGGCTTTGGTCCTCAGGCCTCTTTTCCTCTCATCTCCCTATTGAACTCATTCAGTCTCATAACTTTACTCTCTATTCCAAGCAAGGCCAGTTTCATGGGCATACAAACAGTTCATTCACACAGGGTCCTCAATGTAAAAGGGCTTAATGCTTGATGTTTTAATGTTCTGTGGTTGTCAGCTTAAAATTCTTAATGATTTTATCTTTGAATTTTTGTTTTGTAAGTAAAATTCAAAGAGACAATGGAGCGTGCTTGAGTTCACATGCAGTCCTACCTCCTGGGATAGGTTCTCAGTGCCAGCTCCCCGCTGTTCCCTGGCACCTCAGCACTGTTCACCTTCCCCTTCGCCACACTCAGGACCAGGACCACCAGAACCAGGGGGGACCTAGGCAAGGGCACAGGGAAGGTCAGGGTCATGTGTATGCACCCATGCTGTCTTAGGGTGGGGAATAGTGGCAGCTGTCCCTGCTCTGCACTGGCAGTGCCACAGTGTACCCAGCGGGTGACTCATAGGACCACCAGAACCAGGGGGGACCTAGGGAAGGTCAGGGTCATGTGTATGCACCTATGCTGTCTTAGGGTGGAGAATAGTGGCAGCTGTCCCTGCTCTGGACTGGCAGTGCCACAGTGTACCCAGCGGGTGACTCAGTGGGGATGGCCCTCTTGTCCACCACCTGTTTGAGTATATCCTATTAGGGAAGGTGCAATCTCTCAGAGGTTGTCCCTCCAATGTAGTTTGTGCACAGAGTCCGTGGGAAGAGGAGATACCTGGCTCAACTTCCCCACCCTCAGCCAGAGCATGGTCTCTCAGTCCTACAACTGGTGAGAGGGGGACCTGGCAGCTGGTGGACTTCATGTGCTCTTTGAACAAAGGATCCTGTATTTTCATTTAGAGTCTTAGGCAGGAAAAAAAAAGCAAATGCAAAAGTCTTGAGGAGACAACAGTGATTACCCCCAAATTTAGAAGCTTGTAGCAACAACAAACATGTATCATATCATACAGTTTTTGTGGGTCGGGAATTTGGGAGCAGCATAGTCAAGGGGTCTGGTCTGCATTCTCTTGAAGTTATAGTCAAGATATTGGCCAGGGCTGCAGTCACCCGAAAGCTTTGCAGGTTTGAGATCTGCTCCTTAGTTCACTCTCAAGTGGTGCTGCTTATCAGCAGGAGTACCATTCCTTCCTCATGGGCCTGGCCACAGACTGCTTGAGCATCCTTAGGACATGATGCCGACTTTCCTTGCAAGAGGCAATCCAAGAGGGTGAGTAGGCGGAAGCAACATCCTTTGCAACTTAGACTTGGAAGTCACAAATGTCATTTCTGCCATTGGTCACACAGGTCAGTCTGTTCTACTCATTATGGGAGGAGCTTATACAAGAGCATGAACACCAGAGGCAGGGATCTTTGGGAGCCATCTTGGAGTCTGGCTGCCACACATCTTCACTGTCCGGTTCTGATACATACTACTGTTAAAAAAGAAAAGAAAAGAAAAGAAAAGAAACAACAGGGCAAAATGGGGTCACTCTTGCTAAGCCATAGCACCAAACCAAAATGTAATAACTAACCTAATTGCAGTGTCAGTCTCTCTCCCAGGAGTGAAATTTTAAACTGATCAATCTGGAATTTCTTGGTCCACATTAGTTAGATATCCTGCCTGATAAGACCTCCTGCCTTCCCTTAAGGGAAGGTGACTTTGTCTGAAATAACCCACTCTTTTAACTTTCTTGTTCCATTTCTTGCTGCCTATAAAAACCTCCCACTTTATACAACTCTTTGGAGCACGCTTCTAGTTGCTAGGGATGCTGCCCGATTAATAAAGCCAATTAGATCTTCAAATTTATTCAGTTGAATTTTGTTCTTTAACATCATCATCATTTTCTTATTTTTAGTTACTGAGAACTAACTATATGCTGGCCACTAATCTGGGTATTGGGGATTCAACAGTGAAACCAAAAGCAAAGATAGACAATAGCATCCCTGCCCTATGACTTTCCATTCTAGTGGATAGAGATGAACAAATAAGTACATGTTAGAAGTGATGGGCACTAGTGAGAAAAAAATGAAACAGGGCAGGAGCGATAGAGACCGATGGTTGGGAGAGGAACTTTACGGAGAGAGGTTAGGAAAAGCCTCTCAGATAAGGTGACATGTTAGCAGAGAACTGAAGGTAGTGAGGAGATAAGACGTGTAAGTCTCTGAGGGAACAGAGTTTTAAGGAGAGGGAAATATAAGTGCAAATGCCTTAGGACAAACATGCTTAATGTCTTCAAGAAAAGCATAGAGGCCGTGGTGACTGTGGCCTAGTGACAGAGGACGAGGAGAGTGGTAGGACATCGGGGTTGGTGGGGGAGGGGGAGTGCTGCCGATCACTTTGAGCCATCAGAAGGACTTGGGCTTTTACTCTGAATAATATGGAAAGGCTGTGGAAAGTTCTGAATAAATGGGTGGCATAACTTATATTTTAAAAGGATCTTCCCAAATGCTTTATGAAAAATAGACTAGACTGTAGAAGAGCAAGTCTAGAAGCAGGGAGGCCAGTTGGGAGACTCATTCTTTCTTTTAGAAAAGAAATGGCGGTCTTGAACCAGAGTGGTAGTAGTAGATGTGGGTAACAGATATGTTTTGAGAAAAGAGTTTCTGATGC